AACCCAGCGGCTCTGCTTGTGGCCTGCGAGGACCGTCTCACCCCTGCGACACCTGCCAGAGCCGCCCAGAAGCACCCGGTTACTTACAGTAATAGCGGGCAAGCGCGAGCGGGCGATTTCGGTCCCGAGGTCGCTTTTGCTTTTACCGGGATACAACAAACAACAACAACAACAGACATTTACGCGCAGTTTCCTACGCGTGAGGGGGGAACAAACGCAACTAGCTTAGACGCAGGTAACGGTGTTGTGTTCCTGAGACAGCGCAGCGTCGAGCGCCTGACGCACCGAGAGCGACGCCCCGCTATCGACACCCGGCGAAGGCTCCCGAAGCACAGCGTTGCTGTTGGGAGGGTCACGCCTTTGTCCCCCGCAGCCGGCCTGGCTGCAGATGTCGGATTTCTTCCTCTGCAGTTCAGGCAGCGAGTCTCCCTCGAGTCCTCTCTGGTTTCAGAGCCGCGTTTCTCCAAGAAGTCTCGGGGACGGTTTAAGAGGCAAATTCTTCTCGGCCCCCCCTTCCCCTCGCAGGGTGTGAGCAGCCATTACAGATGGAGGAACGGTTCCTCTCCCGCGTCCAGAGCCCCGGGGAGGTCACAACCACGCTCCAGAGAGGCTTCAGGCACGCAGAGTAGCTGCGTTAATTCAATTACCTAAAGCAGATAACCCGAGAAGCTCCCCCAGCGCTCGCCTTCCCACCTTCCTTAAAGGCCCACCTGTCTTAGCACAAGGCCCAAGGTTCAGGTTAGATTTTTAGGACTGCTCCTCCCTAGTGCGCTCCAATCTCTAAAGCGAGTAACTGTTGGGGAAAGAAAGACGACTCAAGCTGCGCTCCTTTGTGTGAACTGCTGCTTTGAGGGAGCACGCGAAGAGCGCGGCCTCGAAACCAGCTCTTCTCCGTGGGAGAAGAAAATTCAAGACGATACAGCGCGGCCCCTCGTGTGCTCACCGGGAGTTTAGCTACGCAGGCACCGTTAACACGCTGCCAAGCACGCTCACCTGCGCCCCTCACCTTTTCCACAAGCTGTCTTTCCGACGAAAGAGCCGCGTCAACAACAGTATGTGGAAAAAAAATGACGCTTCGTCCGCTCATCTAGAAGTCTTTGCTTTACTAGGGCGACGCTTGGTGGGATTTTTGCACAGATCTGAGCTGTTCAAGGACATCCTCTCTTATCTAGCTGACCTCGCGTTAGTTTTCCTCCCCTCCCGCCGCCATTTCGTATTCCCCTTCCGCTTTATCAGCGGGTGCCCCCCACACCCGGGACGTTACCCTCTTCAACCACTACATCAACTCACCCAAGGATTTCCCCACCGCTGGACCAGAACATAAGCAAAA